AAAGAGTTACTTGAAATTTCCCCAACACCATCCTAATATTCTTTCACTGTTTTTGATTTATACACGATACTTCACCGAAACTCGAATACGTCTGTGAAAAATATTCACTCACTGTCCAGTTAAGCAAATGCGTTTAATGGATAAATCATCCATGCCCTGGACGCTGAGGTCGGGGGAGTAGTCCAGGAACTCGTAGTAGGGGCCGTCGGGGTCATAGTCGGTGTAGGCTTTCAGGTACCGCAGGTCAGGGATGTCTGAGGTGATGTAATAAATTCTATTAATAGAATTGTAAATAGTAAGTTTTGTATGTTTCTTCTTAATTCTGAAATACAAATGGTGTAAAAATAATTGTTAAATGACATTCATGTGTGCGGCTCATCCTACTTACTCCTGATAATCGCCACTTAATCCCTCACTATATGCACATCCAAAGGTCCTCACCGATGGCCAGTGCCGTGAAGCAAGATATCGCGGCCACGAGGGCCGGTAAGACGCGTACCAAAGATCCCATCTTCTCCACTGGTGACTTTTAATGCAGCGGCTGGACGAGACACTTGCTTAAATAGCTGTAGCAAAACATGTATGCGATTGCCCTGTTATATATTCCATTATATCTTTCGGTATCACATCGGTGCGCAGGGATACCAAATGTTAGAATCTAAATAGATTAATGTCAGGTATGCCGCTGCATCAAAGAAAGATAAGCATGAATAAATTAGCACGTGTTCCTCGTGTGAATCTCTCACAATGAACGTTAATAAATCATTACGAAACTAAATAGGTACCGGAGTTGATATGATATGTTATGTTATGTTATGTGTTGTTATGTTATCTTATGTGTTGTTATGTTATGTTATGTTATGCGCTGTGCTGGGCTGTGCTGCGTTGTGCTGTGCTGCGCTGTGCTGTGCTGTGAGGTGCTGCGCTGTGCTGCGCTGTGAGGTGCTGCGCTGTGCTGTGCTGCGCTTCGTTGTGCTGCGCTGTGCTGTGTTGAGTTGTGTTGTGCTGTGTTGAGCTGTGGTGTGATGTGTTGTTACGTGATTTGCTGTGTTGGGTTGTGGTGTGTTGTGTTGTGCAGTGTTGTGTAGTGTTGTGTAGTGTTGTGCTGTGCTGCTCTGTGCTGTGTTGTGCTATGTTGTGCTGTGTTGTGCAGTGTTGTGTTGTGGTGTGGTGTGCTGCGTTGTGCTGTGCTGTGTTGTGCTGCGTTGTGTTTTGCTGAGTTGTGCTGCGTTGTGCTGGGTTGTGCTGTGCTGTGTTGTGTTGTGTTGTGCTGTGTTGTGCCATGTTTTTCACAATCCGACTTCCTCTATCCTGAATCTCACCATGTCGGATCCCATCACTAGAATCCAGTCATCCAGAAACGCATTATCCCGTCTCACTGAATCTCGTCTCCTTGAATCCCTTTAGTAGTTTTATAACAGAAATGACATAATAAAAATAAGGCATAAATATATTATTCACTTATATAAGTAAAAATAACACTAACATGTTTTGAACCAACTCTCCTCCCTGTTTAATATCTCATATGTACAAGATAAGTATCTTCGATAAGCGCTCTCTATAGATTTGCAGCGCCAAGCTAAAAGCATATACTCACTAACCGGATCAAATATATAATTGTAAACTTATCGACAGTTTTGAAGGTATCATCTCTGCGGCGCGCTGGCAGCCCAGTCGGTTAAGACGACATCTATTACAACCTTTACACCGGGAGCGATTACACGGGGGCTGAGTTGACGGGCGACGTCGGGAACTTGGGCTCATTTGAGCTAGCGATATCATCCTTGATTATATCTGGACAATAACCGTGGACTTTCTACACGTACGTCTAACATTCTAGAGTTAAAGAAGATACGTTATTTATTAAAACACATAAATGCGCACGTATACGTCACTCACAATGAATAACCTTATTTTTGTTCCCAGGTGTACTCAGTTCAGCGGCGTGGCCATATTGCGTGCGTCCCACGCATACGGCCGATAACTGCGGTCTCTCCTTACCATCATGCGTACGTGCATTGGGTACGTCACATGAGGGCTCACGATATCGTTAATTGTTTTGTCGTAGCTTCGCGTGGATTTTAATTTTCGAGTGGTCAACTCCTGGTCATAGCTAACTAATGAGAAAACATACATTTCAACAACATCTGTTCAAGTTAAGCCTACCTCCTGTAGCAGAGGTTTTCTCTTATTTCGTTACGATTATAACCTGGTTTCCATGACCAGATAAGCGATCTGTGAACGTGGACAATTGAGAACATCAATAATGCAATTGTTAGTTTTCCAAGCAGCAAAACCTCTTGAGCTCCTATAGCTTCCACAATATGTTTTTGTCGATCGCTGATATTGACATTAATGTACGTAGTGTTTTTATAGTTTACGTAGCGACAAATAACCTCAAATTCATTGCATCGCAGAATGTTTGATGTTTCTAAACCTCCACAAGGTGATAGACCTGGGCACCCCTGACAAAGCAAATCAATTCGGTGGCCAGGGGATGCAAATCCAACAATATCTACAGAGGGAAACCTTGCAACGTGGAGCACGTTGAGGATCTCCAACACGTTGTGCGCATATGGGGATCTTAAGTCTTTGACGCCTGGAAACTGACTCCATCGCGTGGAGCATGTATAGTACTTAAAGAACGTGACAAATAGGTCTGACTGATGCATTGAGGATACGGCTATACGAGAAGCAGGCTGCATGTATCAAACGCTTATGTTAGTTTAACAACGGACCAATTAGCTTGCCCAAGTAAAAACACTCCAATAAATCGATATAATATGTTGTGCTATGTAATTTTATCACTCCATGGCTAGTCTCCATGGGAACTTGGAAGTATATTAACTCTAAAGTGAAAATGTTGCCCGAAATTATGCTAAATATTTCTTTATTCATCCTAAATTATTGCTGATATTTCCGCTGATTTAAATTCCTTATTGTATCACGTAGAATGTTGATCCCCTTATTATAAGAATTGTTCTTTGTTTGATTCGTTGATAAAGTATAACGTTGGTCTATTGACTCTATTCGACCACGTTTCGGTTGCTGTATATACTCGTACTATGAACGATTCTACAATCGAACTCAATATCGTGCGTGCGTATGTTTGTTCCCCAACGTAAACGTAGGCTAGGACATCCACACCTATTAAAAGAAATTGTTACTTATATCATCTATCGATACTTCCATAGAGCATTCGTACGCATTTCAGAATAAGGTTATTAGCTTGTAAAATGGAATACGGCCAGAGATCTGACAAAACGAAGGTGAGTTCGATGCATGACGCAATTATCTGATTACTTACAGTTTACATTGAACCGCCTTTAATGCATGATCAATTTCAGGAAAGTTTGCTCAGAAAGGGTTTGTTGTAACTTTAGAGGCATTTCAGAAATCACATTTCTCATAATTCGTTTATAAGATATTTTGTAGTTCTGACGTAATTATATAGCTGGAAAAAGACATTTCTACAGCAATTAATGGAAGAGTGAATCACTTATCTTAATTTTATTCCATTTTTTTCGAACTACAATGAATATTGACGAGGAGTTATTATTTAAATAAATAATATAAACAACGTGATAAAATCTGAATATCATTTTAATAAGTTGCCATATAATTCAAAAATCTAATTTTTGAACAAAATAGCAAGAAGAGTTTAAAATGCATTTACCGACCTTATGCACCTCTCACCATAAGATTGTTTGAAAAGTTTAACAGTACATTTTGACCCGAATGTTCATAGACTGACAGGGCCAGGAATATAAGCACTTTCTTCATCGTCATAACTATAAACTGGTATAAACTATCCTGACTGGAAACAAATTGACTTGCAAAATATCCAAATATTTCGAATTTTTCTCCAATCTATATTATATATTAATTATATAACTGAATAATGTCCACAAATTTCAATTTAAATTCTTCCTCTCAAAGTAGCATACTTAATCGGTTTATTGTGGCAACATTTCATGCATCGTTGCGCAATTTAAAGACTAAGCCTCATGTTACGTGAATCTGACAAACCTACTGTTCAGACGTCAGAGGTTACATTGGAGTGAGTGGACGGAGTGATTTTTAAACAATTGTCTCTCTCGAAATTTGATCATGTGCAAAGGAGGTGAGATAGACTTTTTTCACTTTTGTCAGATAAGATTGCCATCACGGTATACAAACGACTAAGCAGCTGTCGCTATCTCACATCCTGAGGGCCTGAGCCGATATGTCGCCTTTTTTATTTTCGTCGCACAAGTGGCCTGCAGTTACATATAGATTCAAAATCATCTACCAGAAAGTTAATAACTCCTGAACCCGTAAATTGTAAAGAAAAACTATCCTTAACGTGAAGTTTAACGTTAATAATAATCTCTCTGTTTTAACAATCTCTTGTTTGCTTCAGTAAATTAGATGACTGACAAGTATATTCTGATCAGAGTCAGACAAGTATATTCTGTTCAGAACATTCCATCTGCTGGAAAACGGTGAAGTTTGTTATCTAAGCATGAGAGCAGCATGTTCAGTATATGTACATTTTCTATTCTATTCTATGTTTACATATTTATGTTCGGTCCAAACGTATTCTGTTCAGAACATTCCATCTGCTGGAAAAATTGTGTAGAAATGAAAGCATCATGCCTAGATTACTTATACTGAGCATGACTTATATTAATTATTCATGACGAGATTGCCGAAAAAACGAGAATTACATACTATGTATGAAGAAGTCTACAACCTTCTTTGAAGCAAAATTTATTGATTACACCAGATTCTTGAAGAACTCCCGCTCGTCTGAAATGACCGTTGCTGCGTATAGTTCGGGGTTTGACGTTGTTGTCAAGGTTGTCAAGGAGCTAGTTGACCTCATTGCGGATCTCGAGATGAAGTTGCTCGATTGTAATTCTCTGAGCTCTGGGCCTGATTGCGAGCTTTTCTCAGGTAGCAAAATAAACGGCTGCTCGTAATTGCCATTCCAAAATGTGGAAAAGAAACGTCTGTGATGTCGTTTGGAATCATATATTCATTTATTTATCAAGGCAGGAAGTCTTCGACTTCATGCAGCACTTGTCAGTGGGGCCCACCATGAATGTTGTCGGAAAGACAGCCCTTGGCCACCGACCTGATCGAGTTGTCCGCTAATCCCATGTAGTATGACATCTTGGGAAAGAAAAAAATGCAGGAATAAACATTGGTATGTGTGCAATGAGTATGATTAGAGCTAACATATACCAAAAAACAAGTTCAACAGCTTTGGCTGAGCTAGAAAGTTATGAGCACTTCGTTGATGTTCGCTAGTTAAGTTTCTCAGCTCGCCCATATATCCTGTCATGGTGACATGGTGACAAGCAGTGCTTTGCGAGGCCAGGTTAACTTGCCGCAGTGAGTTAAGCAACATTCTTAAGTTAGCGTACATAAAAGAAAAAGCCTTCAATTTCGGAACATGACGCTGTCCATGTCGCATTTATACAACAATGTCACATAATAATTCTCCTTATTCATTCTCTATTAATCACAATAAAAAATGTGATTACTTGCACTTTTATACAGAGCACTTGGTAATGGTTCACTAAACGCTCGGAATACAAATAATCAACATAAATGAATCAATATCAAATAAATGCATTTGGATATTGTTACAGCGATACCTAATGTATTACCGTCACTATGCCAATTTTTATACACACACAATTAATATTTTATTGCATAATGACCATCACTATGCGCTCGCTGGCAACAGGAGGACGGACTCCCTCGCATTTGGACGGACAAAAAGGGACGGACAAACTCTCATTAGGACGGACAAAAAGGGACGCGCAAACTTTTTTTGATTCCTTACTGATCCAGCTGTGAAAGTCAAAACGCCGTACTCGTCCCAAGGATACACGCACACGGCCTCCCCGGTGTAGTTCTGGCCCCTGCGCACCAAAGACGCCATTAACCTTCATCAGGCACGAATCCACGCTCTATATATATATATGAGGTACGTTTCTTCACTTCATATGAGACACGTATCCTCACATCATGTGGCACCGATCCATATCCATACTTCTTAAGACCCATCTCCTAGCATCAATATTCCCGTACCTCTGTGTAAGATGTGAATTGATAGCAGCCATCCGAAATTAGACAGGTTAATTCTTTTTGTCTGTCTCAGTAACGACGTCACTCACTGAACGAGATATAGTTCTCTGACAGAACGAGTAGCGTTAGTCAAAACCGAGAACTGCCGAGAATGGGTTCTTCGACTCATTCCCCTCGAGTCGTTTGTGTAGACAAATGTGTTAAACTCACACTTCCATCTGTAATCCCACAAACTGTATGCTGCGTTACTCTACAATTAAGTACCCTGTTATTCTCTACTCTGTGCATCATTTATCCTCTGATCACAAACTAAACCCTAACTAACCTCAGGTCTTCCATATAATTATTATACATATAAAAGGTGCAAGAGAGAAGCAACCATTTACATCTGATACCTAAACAGGGCTATAATCTGTTATTATAAATGTACTCGCTTAATCGTATATACACTGCACTGCTGCTCTCGTTTTTTGGCAGCATTTACTTTTACGTGTGAAGTACCTGATTGCTTACTGCGCTCATCATCAGATGTTTAAACTAATTTCCACCATATCGAAAAAGACGCAAAATTAAACCAAAGCATATAACCGTCCCTCAGATATTTGGGGTGAATAATAACGCAAGACGTACGTGAAGAAAGTCCATGGCGATTCTCCACTTGTAATCAAGGAGGACACCTTCATGTCCAAGTAGGAGACGTCCGGGGCGTTTTTGTTGCCTTTGAATTCATTGCCCGTGAAGCCGCCACCCTCGTAGAGGTTGTAGTAGGCATTGTCAAAACCGTTGGGGCTGCCTGCGTACCGCAGAGAAGATATCTTATCCTGTCAGGAAATAAAACTAAATGTTGATACATCCACTGTGATACATACACTAAGCGTTTTTTTACATTCCCATTTATTAAATGCATTCGAGCTATAAATCCTTCTGTTTGCTTACATAGTAATAGGAATTCGTATAGTTGGCGCACCCGTAGCCATTGGCAAATAAAGCAGGACCTTCTTTTTCTACACCGTAGTAGTACCCATCATACAACAACCATCTGAAAGGAAGAAACAGAAGGTTTCTGATGGTTTTATGTACACCGAAACAGGAGGAATATCTCTAACGAGAAGCATTCATTATATAATAGCAAATAATATTTGCTAGACAAAACATCAGATGAATCAGACGGGGGTAAGCTTTCAAATCTCATTACGAATAAAAGTAAAAAAATCACCCCTGATCGTATTTTCAGTCGCGTTTCACGATCAAATAATGAGTTACACGTATACAGTTACTATGACTCAGAGGTGACAATGGAGATTAGAGAACGAACGGGACACTCAACGTGATAAATTTTAAGGTCTATGGAAAGAGAGTCACATGAACTTCCTCCTACATGTACCATCCTAATATTCCTTCACAGTTTTCCATTTGTACATGATACTTCACCGAAACTCGAATACGTCGCTGAGAAATATTCACTCACACGCCAGTGCCGCAGACGACTTTAATGGAGTTATCCATGCCTTGGTCCCTCAGGTCGGGGGCGTAGTCCAGGAACTCGTAGTAGGGACCGTCGGCGGCTGAGTTGTTGTAGGCGTTGAGGTTCCGCGGGCTGGGGACGTCTGGGGGGATGTAGTTTATTTTATTAGTAGAAATATGAATAGTAAATTTTGTAAGCTACTCAATTCAGAGGCACAAATAGTGTACGACAATTTTTTCGAATGACATTCATTTGAGCGATTCATTCACTTAATCCCTTGCTAGCCTTAATCCCTTAATCGCCACTTAATCCCTTACTAGCACATCCAAAGGTCCTCACCGATGGCCAGCGCCGTGAAGCAAGATATCGCGGCCACGAGGGCAGGTAAGACGCGTACCAAAGATCCCATCGTCTCGACTGGTGACTTGAAATGCAGCGGCTGGATGAGACACTTGCTTAAATACCTGTAGCGCAACATGTATGCGATTGCCCTGTTATATATTTCATTATATCTTTCAGTATCATATCGGTGCGCAAATATCAGAAAATAGAATCAAAATAGACGAGAAGCATGCAAGGCTGGCATGCCGCCATATCAAAGAAAGATAAGCATGGAAAAACCAGCACGTGTTCCCCTTGTGAATCTCCCACAACTAACGTCATGTCATGCCATGCCATGTCATGCTATATCATGCCATATCATGCCGTGTCATGCCAGGTCATGCCAGGTCATGCCAGGTCATGCCAGGTGATACAATGTTGTGCCATCATGTGGATGTCTAGTAGCTATTTCAAACTATCGTCTGTCATGAAAAGATCCGGTCAAATAACACGATTTTAGATCTTCAGTGAACAAGTCACGAAAAGGAAAGGAATCGACGACAGGCCACACAAGGCCTACACTTCAGCGCCGACATCGCCATGTTGTGTTATGTTATGTCGTGCCCTGCCGTGTCGTGTCTTGTCGTGTCTTGCCGTGTCATGCCATGTCATGCCATGTCATGCCGTGCCCTGCCGTGCCTCACCGTGCCCTGCCGTGCCCTGCCGTGCCTCGCAGTGCCTTGCCATGCCCTGTCGTGTCGTGTCATTTCGTATCGTGGCGTGTCGTGTAGTGCCGTGTCATGTCATGTCGTGTCGCGTCATTTAACCACCTATTTAGGGTCGTACAAGGTATAGAATCAACCCCATATGGCCATTACCAAATCTTGATGAAATTTTACACATAAGTTGGATCATATTTCAAACTAACCTTGGCAAAATATCTGCTCAATATATGAAAACTTTCAAATTAGTGACCCTCAAATGAGGACTGATAAAAATGTCCCCAATCGCGCAGCAAAATCGCCACCTTCAGGTCGCTGCTGTAGCAGGCCTATGCTAGACAGTGATTTGAAAATAGAGGTGTGTGTTAAACTTGGGCAGGTGCTTCTAAAAAGTTTGTCTCAGTAGTTTATTGTCAATACTTTTTGTGTAGATTAAGGTCAAACTTGCTAGAAAATATGATAAAATTCATATGATCAGTGCCCTGTAATTCACATGAAAATTCACAAATCTCCTTGAAACTTGTCCAGTCTATTGCCAAATTCGATTACATTGTACACAAAAAACTATTGACTGATAATTCATTCCTGTTTTTCCATGAAAATTATCTGAACTTGCTATAAGAAGCATAAGAGCCATTAGCAACTAAATTTGTACACCAAACTAATAAGTTGCAGAATATCAATTATATGGAAACGGCATTCAATAGAAAGAATTAATGCTGTACTATAACATATGTTATCCGACCATCAACACGGTGGCTGCCATCAACACGGTAGCGACCGTCAACACGGTAGCGACAATCAACACGGTAGCGAACATCAACACGGTAGCGACAATCAACACGGTAGCGACAATCAACACGGTAGCGAACATCAACACGATAGCGACCATCAACACGGTATAGCGAACATCAACACGGTAGCGAACATCAACACGGTATAGCGAACATCAACACGGTATAGCGAACATCAACACCGTATAGCGCCCATCAACACGGTAGCGGCCATCAACATGGTAGCAACCATCAACACAGTTTAGCAACCATCAACACGGTTAGCGATTATCAACACGGTAGCGGTCATCAACACGGTAGCGACCATCAACACGGTATAGCGACCATCAACATGGTAGCGACCATCAACACGGTAGCGACCATCAACACGGTAGTGACCATCAACACGGTAGTGACCATCACCACGGAAGCAACTATCAACACGCTAGCGTCACGGGAGCGACCATCAACACGGTAGCGACCATCAACACGGTAGCGACCATCAACACGGTAGCGACCATCAACACGGTAGCGACCATCAACACGGTAGCCACCATCAACACGGTAGCGACCATCAACACTGTAGCGACCATCAACACGGTAGCGATCATCTACACCAGTGGTTCCCAAAGTGGGCGGTACCGCCCCACTAGAGGCGCTGGAACGTTCTTGGGGGCGGTGAGGAAGAAGGGGGCGCTAGGGGGGTGGCAGTCCGAAGTAGAAGTCTGAAGATCGAATATTTGTTTGACGATTTGTACACAACACGTTCAGCACACGGCTCCCAGCGATGGGTTTTTCCACCCACATCTGGGTATTTTGAAACTCTTCTGGGTTTCTAGTGTAAGTTTTCGAATATATTCAAAATATGGGTTTTTCATTAATCACACTCTAAATAGAATACTTAAGAAAAGATCGCTTTCCATGCGCTAGAGTTAAGCGCGCCTAATACAATATTGCACACACCGAAGGAAAAAGAATGTGTTAAAATATTTAACGAGAGTATCATATGAGGATCAAACGAGTATGAACCGAGTTTATTACCGTTTCTGGCGCTGCAAGTCCATGTCGCGCCACTGGGCGCTGTGTCTCAGGCCTCAGTTCAATGTTGTCTCTGTGATGCGGCGTGCATATACGCCGGACACTAAGATAGAGCGTCAGTTCATTGATTTTCCATTACTGGTAAAAATTTTGACCAATAATCTCGGTAGAGCGCACCATGTTGTGTTGAGCTGCTTAGGGTGGTGTATGTGTTTGTTTCCTGATGTGTCTATGGGGGAGGGGAGGGCGCAAGGAATTCACTGGGGAGCCAAAGGGGCGCCAGCCCGCAAAAAATTTGGGAACTACTGACGTAAAGAATCTCCAACACGTGGAGTACGAAGAGGGTCTCCAACACGTGAGGCACGTAAAGGATCTCCAACTCGTGGGGGACGTGAAGGATCTCCAACACGTGGAGCACGTAGAGGATCTCCAACACGAGGAGCACGTAAAGGATCTCCAACACGTGGAGCCCGTAAAGGATGTCCAATGCGTGAAGCACATGGGGATCTTAAGCTCTTGATACCTGGATACTGACTCCATCGCGTGGAACACGTGTAGAACCTAGAGAGCCGGACAAATAGCACCTACTGATGCATTGAGGATATGGCTATACGAGAAGCAGGCTGCATGTATCAAACGCTTATGTTAGTTGGACAACGGAACAATTGGATTGCTCAAGTAAAAACACTCCAATCAATCGACAAAAGATGCTGTGCCATGTAATTTTATACTCCATGGCCAGTATATAACTTGGAAGAACAATAAGTCTAAAGTGAAAATGTAGCCGGATATTATGATAAATATTTCTTTCTTCAGCCAAAATTATTAACATTTCCGCTGATCTCAATTCCTTATTGCATCACGTAGATTGTTGATCCCCTTATTACAATTGTTCTTCTTTCTATTTGATGATAAAGTATAATCCAAGCTTGAAAATTTATTTGATTTATTTATTTTTATTTGAAAATATAAAAACCAAACATAAGTAGAGCAAATCATTTTTAGCGCATTTTCTCATTTATGGAAAAAATGCACTATTGTGCTCGCCATGTCCGTCCGTCCGTCCGTCTGTCCGTCCGTGACTTCACGTTTTCGTCGACGAGAAAATGCGCTCTCTGTCACTCACTGCAGTGAGTACTGAGTTATATTTTTTTGATTATTGCATAAACCTTCGCATTTTTTTGTAGCGATATGTTTTAATAACAGGATGCCTATTTGTTCGCAATCTTTCATAGTTTCTTCATTCGCTGACTTTTGTTTTCTTTTCCTCTAGAAAATTCGTCACCAATGTTCGACTCTTCTACTCTACTCATCCATATTGAAATTTAGTACAGTTGGAAAGAAACGAAAATAACCTCTACAGCAAAATGATCTCTAATACCAGTCATCGTAATAAATAGAAATAACTATATTTACCATATATAAATAAGTCACTATTGCACTGGGATTTAGTGTCTCTCTTTATTTCTCAAATAGGACCTTGTTGACATGGTCGACTACGCCCAATTGTCAGTAGTAATTCGGTGGTTTAGAATGCATATGAAACTAGGATATTTCAGACCGAGGTGGAAGGTTAAGTTACGGCTGAGAGATGCTGCATGATCTAGCAACTGGGCATAAATTCTTTATAAATCCTACCTAATAATTGAGCCGAGTTATAGCGCAGTGTATGGCAATGCAATATGCGTGTCAAATAAGAAATAAACTCGAACATATTTAGTTTCTAACATGAAACCATAACATTCCTAGTGTCAGGCTTCAATAATCACGCGAACTTTAGGAAATATAAATAGGTGTCAATAAGTCATTTTTATTGATAATCACAGTGCTCATTGTATATTATAAATAAATTTCACACAAGAATAATATAAATTGTTGAATTCTAAGATAAGTTCGGTCCAACAGAGTTCTGACATGCACACGGGTCCAAAATATTGCAGAATCATCCATACTACTGTGTATGCCGCACCAAAGCTACAAAATGTAAACTTTTTGAGAAGAACGTTGCTCCATCTCCAATATTTAGATTATAGTAAAGTACGAGTGCTGATATTCCTCAGAGCAGTGGAATTGTTTCGACGGTGACAGGACAGGGCCTGGAGGCGAGCAGGTGCATGAGACTGCCGGACTGTCAGGCCCCGCGCGAGGCATGTAGAATTGGACGCCGAGGCTCTACGGGTAATGCTGCCGATAGAATGATTAACCTTCTTATCATAATAATAAACAGGCTAATGTGAACGATTAGAGATAATCTTTCATTCATGATTCTATAACCTCATAGCTCCAGAGTATCCTCATAATTATGTATTATTATGCGATACTGAAGGTTGAGAATAACGCAAATACCGACATTCTTCTGCGTCATGCCGATAACGTTATATCGAATTCCTTCGTTCGGACACAACACTGTCACTGATAAGAAGTCGCATTGTCAGAACCCAGCTACATCGTTGGAAATCTTTCAGCAAGTCATTGATTAGGCTTTAGAAATACTGCTACTAGTGGACGTGACTTCTGAATATTTCATCCTGCTTGTCATTAGCTATTATCGCAAAGGTTGT